AAGGAAAGGAAAGGAAAGGAAAGGAAAGGAAAGGAAAGGACTAATTAATAGTTGTACAATTAAAATTACTTCTTGGGACTGCACAAGGTGTCAGTGAAATCCACCGTAATGGTGAGAATACGTAGCAGCGAGAGCTTTGAAATTACGATTATTTTTTCAAATTTTTCGCCCGGGATTTTGCTCCTATCCGTAATATTCATCTACCTTAGGGTGTCCGCAATGCGGGAGTTGGCTGTATTTATTATGGATACCATGAAAAATAAACTGAAAATAGTACAGTAAAAACTTATTAGTTACCGTAGAAATGAACTAGACCTAGCTTCATTAGCTGAATTTTTAATCCATGGGGGAAAAAATAGACTGTATCCTACGAAGTCTTATTGTGCCATATCCTATTATTTCACCGGAATACTTGACAACCCTACGCTATTGTTTGCTAAGCCAATTAAATTGTCATTCAGAATGTTAATTATTAAGTGATCATCCTTTAACAAAGTTCGGGAACTTATGTTTGAGAACAAACATTCTGACCAACTCTGGAATCAACAAAGCTGAGGCGTTTCTGCTATAATCTGGCACTTACAAAACCCGATTTCAGAACGAACGATGGAATTGAAATTTTCCTTGAGTAATGTAAGTTGGTGTATATACTATTCGCTGTGTTTGTATGCCATTTTAAAATCTTTTTCTCCTTTTTTGGGGAGGAGGGGGTGGTGGTTACAATAACTCGAAGTTTCATTCTTTTTTTCATCCTTCATTTTTCACTCTTCTTTCTTTTTTCTTTTTTTCTTTTCTCTATCTCTTTTCTTTCTCGATCTAAATTAAATAGGATCGGTTTAAGATTACATTTCTTTTGTACAACGTAATTGTCAAGTTCAAATTAGATAATTACAGAAACTTTTGATGATTACCAATTTTGGGATGATTTACTTTCTTCACAGATTTGGTTTCTCGTAATTCTCGTTCAATTTTCCACGGTGATTCAGTAGTTTCAAATTATAGATGAATATCAGTTTCGTGAGACGATTTCTTGTCAGATTGTTTTGTTTTTGTTTTTTTCAATTCTCGAGCTCGTTAAATTTTACATCGCGGTGACTCAGTTTTAAATTAGATAAATTGGGACTTTTTTAAGATTTGAAAAATCTTCGACGGTAAATAATTTAGTTCTCTTTGGTATTCTGTGTTCATTGGAGTTTCCACTGAAAACATTATCAGTAAGTCAACTCGTCCTTAGGAAACACAGCCTTCAAAGTAGCGAAACACCGAAGTGAAGTTATTTACACTTTCGTCGCAGATTTTGCAAATCTTAAAGTCCCTATAACAGTTTAATACCAGTTTTGTGACCATTTAATTTCTTCCACAGATTGTGGCTCTTATACTTCTCATTACTGTTATGGTAATGGAGTTCCATATCAGTTCCCAGCAGCACTTCTTCTCGAGCGATTATTATCCAATAGAAAACTCCGACGGCTACGCGCTGATAAATTCCGTTTACAAGTCCTTCAGCACCGCAAGCTTCGCTACATGTCTGCTGGCCTGTGAAACAGACATGACTTGTATGAGCCTAAACTTTCTCATGTCAACCAGTACATGTGATCTGAACACACAGACCAAGGAATCTACACCAGGATATTTTATACAGAGACATAACAGCATCTATTCTATCAACCCTTCTGGAAGAACAAGTAAGATATTAATGACACGATAGTGATAGCGCGTTAACTTCCCACCTCTGCCGAGTACAGTTACAATTTCATTTCAAGGCTATTGCAGCTTATAGCCATGCCCTGAGGTTGTTTCAGGGTCAGTGATATGTGAATTAGCCATGCCTTGAGTATGATCAGCCCAGAGGTTGTTTCCTGAAGGATTTCAGCTGTGAGTTAGCCATGCCCTGACTTATAGATCTGCCCAGAGGTTGTTTCAGGGTTCGATCTGTGCCGGAGTTAGCCATGCCCTGACTTAGATCAGCCCAGAGGTTGTTTCAGGGCTCAATCTGTGAGTTAGCCATGCCTTGACTTAGATCAGCCCAGAGGGTTGTTTCAGGGCTCAATCTGTGAGTCAGCCATGCCCTGACTAAGATCAGCCCAGAAGTTGTTTCAGGGTTAGATCTGTGATCATGAGTTAGCCATGCCCTGACTTAGATCACGAGCCCAAATGTTGTTTTAGGGTTCGTTAAAAAAAAAGCCTCTTGACACTGTTGTCGAGTTGAATTCCACAGACAGGTGGCATATTCTCCTTCTCCTTCTCCTTCTCCTTCTCCTTCTCCTTCTCATTCTTCATTTTTAGTATTAAGGAAAGGAACAAAAGGCAAGCCTGCCAAGTCTTGTCTAGATGTATTGAACAGCGGCGCTTCAGCTGGGACAGGCGAGTACTGGTTAGACCCAGCCAGCACAGGGAGCCCAATACAAGCTTACTGTGACATGACAACAAATGGGGGTGAGTTCAAAGTTGGGTGTTTTAGAGATAAGGTATAACAAACTATGATTATAAAATAGCAATTTCTTAGTGAGAATTGGCTACTTGCGTGCATAGAAGTAGTTGTAAGTTAAAAAATTGAAAGCTTTAGAATGTTTTTGTTTTCGAATATAGAGCGTTTTCACATGATGTCACAGACGCCATATCGGGTGTACCTTGGACAATAACTTGGCATGATTCGCGTCTTTCTTTGGTTAGGTGCAACATTATGGCTGTTATCTCTATTGTCAGTTAAATCACTAGGGACTGCGTTAAAACACTCTATTTCTAGATTATATTTAGGAAGAAAAATTTTCAAAAGTTATATTTCCTTGAACAAACCGTACGACTAGTTCGATTCGTTGCTGTGTGAATAAAGTTTGTCATGGTAGCACAGCGGTTCTTTGAACAAAACGCTTGGTCTCAAAAGCTACAGAATCTAAAGTCTCATATACATTTTGTTTAAAACATTTGTTTTAGTTTATTTTACTTTTTGAGAAAGAAAGTAGATACTCTCGAAACATGATAATGATAACATAATGATATAGATGTATTTGTGATTTATTATATAGCGCCCTTTCTATGTAGATTTTATCAAAGGCGCTTTACATTGAGTGTGAATATCTGATTGCCTTTTATGCAACTTACAAAAAATGAGATGGTTAGTATGAAGTGTAGGCACTGAGGGTGGTCACTGCCAGGGTGGCCACTGCCAGGGTGGCCACTGCCAGGGTTTCTTTACGTCCTCAGTGGTTCTTTTACATCCCTCCGATATTGGTTAGTAATGATGGAGAGTGGAGAGACGGGACCGCCATTTAAAGTGGTCATCCGAGCCACTTGAAAGCGCGGGCTTGAAAGTCTAACCATTTGCAGATGTAATTACAAAGGCAGCACTATCTTCTATTTTAAGACCCTGACATCACGCACGAAAGTCCGATGCTCAACCAACTGAGCCCACCGGTTGGAATAAAATGTTTTTGAGAATTTAATATGTCATAGTGTCTCCTAAAATTAAAGTATTTGTTCTAAGAAAATCATTAAGTTCATAGCATTTTTAGTCTTTCAAGCTATGAATGATTGTTCTATGTGAAACCGCCATTTTTCGGGAATGAATTAACTTGTCAAGATAATAATATTGAAAAAATGAACTCGGGACTCAATGATGACCCTCTTTTTTCTTTCTTTGTGTTGAACCATTGTTAAATTCTGTTGTTAAAAAATATTTCTTAAAAAGACGTTGAAATGAAAACATAAAGCATAAACAGATTAATTCCGCACCCGATAAATACTAATTTATTTATACAGGGTTCTTGCTACTCCTTGAAATCCTTGAAAAGTCCTTGAATAGACCTTATTCGTGGTGTGACAATGTTTTCCCAATTCAGCGTGACGAACCTCCAAGGGATTTATTTTCTTTTGTTTTTAGTCTTCGAAAAATTCATGAGTATCCCAAAGGATACGAAAGGTATAACGATGATATCCCGACGAGTTTCAAAACGATAGCTCTTCATTCCCCCAGCTAGGTTTGTCACGCTGAATTGGGAAAACATTGTCACACTACGAATAAGGTCTATTGAAAACACTTTTTTAAGGGCGCTTGAAAAGCCCTTGAAAATAGGGGAAAACGCCAAAACTCCTGGAATACTCCTTGAATTTAATGCAAACTTAAATTTATTTCTAACTTACCTTTTGAAATAAATAACGATTAAAATTGATTGAAGAGTTTCTGGTTGCTTGTTTACTGGTTGCTTGCATGTCATGCTCGTTTTTTATCTAAGCTAGTGGCACCGGCTGAATTAGCTGCACTTGAATTGAATCAATGTTTAAAACCACGTTCTAATCTAAAAACCTTTGTCCTTGAAAATCGAATTTTTGTGCTTGAAAAGTACTTAAAAAGTCCTTGAATTTTGTAACGAGAATATAGCACGAACCCTGTTTATACATATATTTTTTCAGGTGGATGGACTGTGGTCACGAAGTTAGTTCAGCCAAGCAACACTAAATTGCCTTTGCACCAGCCATCAACCTATGAGGTCATTAAAGAATACAACAGAACAGACGTGAACGTCATGCCTATGGGAACCGCCATGTTGGATATCAAGAACAAGATGGGATTCAACCAGATTCATTTCTATTGTCGCAAGGTATCTGTCGGTAGAGTAGTGAGCATCATGACCAGAAACAACACAGCTGGCCAAGCTGTAGTAAGTTTCTTTACCAACCCAGATGTAGCCTCAGTACGCCCTGCTGCTTGTGGTTCGTTTGATATACTGCCTGACGACACGTCAATCCTTAGCGGAAAATGCAGTGAATGGGGTGATACTCCGGCCAATGAGTGGGGAGCATCATGCTGTATGGGTTCCATGAGACTACCTGCTATGGCTTGTCACACAAGTCGATCACACGGTTTCGAATTTGTCGTTTATTATTCGTGCGACAATAAAGTTCCGGATGGCTCTAGTAATGCAGTGCCACCCGATGTGAATGACACGTGGCGAATATCTGTGCGCTGATTATAACACTCGATCGATCAACACTACTGTCACTAATATATCATTTTAAATCTCAGTCAAATATCACTATTATTGTTTTTGGTATAGTTTTTGATTCGGAAAAGATGAAACATGAAATGTGCTTTGCAATATCAAATTTACCCCCATACCACAGGTAGCCCAAGCTTGGTTTCTGTGGTATCCTGTTATAAGGAAATGTATGGGTCCTTAAAACGGGCTAAATTTAAAAAATAACCAGGCAGAGAGAAAGAAGTGCTATTTCTCAATGATCGGGTAAAATTTCGAGGCTTTATTTCACGTTTAGATGATTTTATTGAAATTTTTGATGAATCCCCATACATTTCTTTATAACAAGACACCACAGAAACCAAGCTTGGGCTACCTGTGCCCATACATTTTGGATATTTACTATATTGGTGACCGGTATATAAGTTATACAATGGTTTTCGTGGTATACCATTGATATATCCCACGCGCGCATCCCTTGTAATTTCTAGTATTGTAAACGAGTGTGTACCAAAAAATACAACTGACTAGTGGGATATTTCATGGCGTGCAGCGGGAAAGCATTGTATAACTTTTCTATCCCACATAAGAAAATACCCGGTGATATATACGTAGATTCAACGAGAAATATAAATGAATTGTCTCCAAAAAATATTTGGCCGAAAATTGAACTACTATACTGAATGTTTTTAACGAAAATGCATTTATAAAACATTTACAAAGTGCAATCAAGAGAATATGAACTAAGAGAAGGAATCCTACCTATGTAGCCTTGTAACCATCATCTGCACAGTTTGATGCTATTTTTAGCTTGGAGATATTTTGAGCGAAGAACTTGATTGGTTGATTTTTTGAGGGTAGGCGGCTTCTAGTCTTGCAGTAAACAAAAGCCTGTGTTTTTGTCGCTTTTCGTGTCCTAAAACGAGGCATTAAAGGAAGCATGATTATCACGCGGGCATGGTAACGAGTTAAAAATAGCATCAATGATTCTAAAAATAGCATCAAAATGTGCACATGATGGGGCACGGRGATTCCTTCTCTTAGTTCATCTTCTCTTGGTGCAATCTTAAGACCCTTAATTAATCAAGCTCTAAAAATAGTGTTTTGAAAACACGCGAGTTTCAATCAGCGCGTGTGCATGTTGTTTTTTTCTCAAAAAAATTTCGAATGAATTCTACCTAAAACTTGTTAAACTATCGGTTTCATGCTTTTCGAATCTTTAGAATAAAGTGGCAATAGACTTCAAATTATTTTCTCTGAACGTGGCAGTTCTTGAATGAACTTGACTTAAATTTATTTACATCCGAGTTTGTTTCCTACACTGTCAAACATTATGAATTTTTTTGAGGAATCTTAGGCCCCGTCCACACTACGCCGGACAAATTTGAATCTGCAATTTTATTTATCCGGTTAGGCCTTCCGTCCACACTAGTACGGGCGAATCCGGAACAATTCTTCGCCGAAAATGGAACTTTTCGAATATGGTCTATACAGAGTGGAACAATTTGAAAACGCCGGCTAGCCGTATTAGTGTGGACGGAGAACATTTCGTAACCGGAACTTTTCGAATACGATGACGTTATGATTGTCATGGGAACATGGCGGAAAGGCTTAAAATTCACCGCGGGCTCAAATTCAGCTTCGATGCGCATGCTCAGATGTGCAATAMAGCGTTTTGCTGCCTCGGATCGGACTAGTGTGGACGCGAAACATTTTCTCCGTTTTCATGTATGGACGGAAAACGTTTTTTTTGTTGCGGACTCAAATTTCTCCGGCATAGTGTGGACGGGGCCTTGGTACTCCAGTTCAGGGTTAGCTTCGATTTCGTATCAATTTCGTGCTAGTTTCAGTCATGTTCCGCAGAATTTCGAAGCTTTTGTATCGTTGAGGTTGTGTATTCTTTATTTTTCCGTTGGAATTTGTGAATATTTTTGAAGCTGAAATGAGTCTAGCCCTGAGTAAATGAACGGTGATCAAGGAACACCATCGACTCATTCAAAAAAAGGTCTCTTAGTAGATCAGGTTTTCAAACTCGGATTCAATCACTTGCTCGTTTTGTTTGTGAACATGGTTTCTTGAAACTAAAAACCATTATGCCCATCTATTAACTGCAAGTTATATATAAAATTTATCATATATTGCTATTTGGGGGAAAAAATGGTGAAGGGTTTTTTTTACACTTTTTCTATCTACATTCAAAGCCACGGAAATTGAGTGGAACAC